TTACATTGGAAGCTTCTTTGATTTTTGAATACATCTTTTTATATTGGAAGCCCTGTTTAAAAATAATTCCATGATTCTATAGAAGAAGAGCTATTAATCTTTGTGTTTACAGAAAGAGATGTTAGGTTTGCAATACATGATTAATTTTATGCCTCTAAAATGTGAATGACATCATTTGGCCTGTTAGATAGTAGATTTATTTTAGTACCGGATCTTTTCAGATCATTCCATAAATGGGAAAGAAATAAAATGTGAGTAAATGTTTGCTCTATTTTGGCTTTTGTTTAAGTTAAAATAATTAGAATTCAGCCAGCCAAAAAGAAATTAAATTTGAAATCTAATTCTTGTCAAGAAATTTTACATGCAGTTATTCAACCTGTTGTTTTAGAATTGCTGTGGTAGGAAAGTAGAACATTACTTTAGCAAATGTAGTGGTTGGATGGCTGGAGAGCAGAAATGAGACACCTCAGTGAGTCATAGGAATACATACGCTTCCTGAATAGAGTTACCAAATATTTCTAAGGAAACTGATATTGAAATTCAAGCAGGAAAGTTCTCAGAGTTCTATGCCAGTATCAGTGGTTATATAAAAGTATTTATTGGGAAATTAAAGAAAATGTTTTCTTCACAAAGTTAAATTAAAGAATAACTGTGTCTAGGCATACAAAAAATCATATCAAGTGTGAACTTTAATATTTAAAGATCCTCTTGAAAATCTGTGGAAATAATACATTTTGTACAACTTGAAGTATATAGTAAGCATGCTATTAGGAATACTGTTTATAATGAAGAAATTCAGATACAGTTTAAGTAACCTGTACATTATGAACACTTCTTCTAGTTTCTTAGAAAAAGTACCCTAACATCAGTATTCTTAATGCATGAACAAAATGATACCTTCTGCATCTGACATGGGCTTTTTCTATACCTGTAGAGAGGAAGCACTATTTTTCCTAAACAGAAAGGTTGTTATTTGCAGATCTGCTCCACTGCTCTGAGTCATTGATGGTAACAGGCTTTATATTTAACCTGAAATATAATGCATTTTCTTCCAGGCCTGTAGTTCAATCATTTTGCAAAGTGAATACATATAGATCCTGAGTTTTCTTTGTCTTGCTACATACACTTGATAAACAAAGTCAAACATTTATAGGAGGTGTGTGTGTGTGTGTGTTGAGTGTTATCAGTTGCATTTTCTTCTTGACTTGTTTGGTGGGTACTTTTTTAGATGCCTTTGTTCATGCTCACTGCTATGTTTTAAATAGAGCAGTCTTAATGTCCATCTTTTCCTACAATGTTAAGGAAAGGTCACTTTATTGGACTGACCTGTCAGTTTTTTTGTCTAAACATCTTAAAATACACTGTACATACTACCTGGGATAATACATGTATCTTGTTGTTGTTGTGAAGTGCCATCGAGTCAGTTCAGACCTATAGCGATCCTGTGTAGGGTCTCCAAGGAGCAACTAGTGAGCTTGAACTGCCAACCTTGCAGTTCAAATGGTTTTGCAGTCTGGTGCATTAACCCACAGCACACTTAGGATTTTATGACTATTCACAAATAAGATTGACCTATAGAAAGTTCCCCTTCCTTTTTGGAGAAGTAATGGTCCTAGTTTGGTTGACTTTTCATTGCTCTGAATTAGTTTATATGGGAATCATCTGTTTCCATAAAATAGGAAAGAACTCTCATAGAAAACTTCCTGAGTGAAAATGGAAAGTGAAAGAAAAAAAAGAAAGCAGGGTAAGGGAACAGAGTGAATAGGCCTGCTGTTTTAGAAGAAGTGGTTAGGAAATAGCTCTCAAAAGAGAAGAAGACACAATGAAGTGAGGGAGCAAACCACATGAATACCTGAGTAAGGAGCACACCAGGCAGAGGAGGCAGGCAGGGCAAAGCCTTGTCAAGGAGGTATGCTTGGCATATTCAAGGACCAGCAAGGAGGCTGATGTATTTAGAGCAAGGGGGTCAGGGAATGATATGATAGGAAAATGGAGAGGTAGGGAGGGATTAGTCTATTCAGGGCCTTATTTTAGAAATTTTGTTTCTTAATCATGCTTTTTGTATTTAGAAAGTTTTTACTTAGACGTTCTATTCTTTGTTTTCCAGTTTTTAATAAAGGTTTTAGAATTGACATTATCTTCTAAGTACAGCATTTCCTGCATTCTGTGCTTCATGGCTATCAGTCACATGGCCCCCTCTGTCTGCAAGGGAAGCCAGGGACTATAGGTTTTTAATGAGGACATTATTGCCCTGAATAAAATCAGCATTCTGTTAGTAAGAAAGAATCGGGGAATTGGTATTGGAAAAGTTACTAGCATATCTTTCATAAAATGCTAAGAATGTAGAAGGTTTACCTGTGTATTCCCATTCTATATGGATTGTTAGAAGCATCGTAAAATGAAAAGATACTCTATTTCATTAAACTAACCAAAATTTTGTATTAAAGTCTGACAAGATGGCTAAAATAGAAAAGTTATAAGCCACTTTAATTTATGACTATACCTTTGAAAATAAAATGCAGTATCACCTTTCCAGTACATTATGATCAGATAGGATTCATCCTATAAATGCAGGATTCATGTTTAGAAAAAATTAAATATAATACAGCATATAAGAAGATACAATAATAAAAAAATATGATAATCTTAATAGATAAGGGTTTGATAAGTCAGCACTCATTTCTGATCAGAGAGTCTAAGATGACCAAGACTCCAAAGATATCTCTTTAATGAAATAATGATATGTAGTTTCCCATTCTGATCAAGGAGTCCTGGAAGGGCGCCATAGGATAAGCACTCGCCCTCAAGGTCAGTTTGAACTGCAAGTTTGGTAGTTCAAATCCACCAGCCACTCCTTGAGAATTCTATACAGTGTTGTGATGAGTCAGAACTGACTTGACAATACTTCACAACAACAATTCTTACCAGATATCTTTGAGTTCAAAGTATATTCCATATATCCTTAGTCTTATTAGCCTGAGACTACAAAATACACAGTTAAGACATACCTGAAATAGCATAGCACAAGCTAATGGACTGAAATTGTGGGGCACAAATCTTAATAATATACTCCCAGTTACTTCTGGAAGTTTCTCAAGGTACTGCCTTATATGTATTGCTGATCACAGTCTTCTGTTTTCTCAACTTAGGTCCTTCCAGTCTGCTGCCATACAATTGCCTGTGACCCTAGTTAAATAGACTCCTGGGTATACTTCTTCTAGACCCTAGGGAAAAAAATATCTATTTAGTTACTATTTTTGCTATTTGAATATAAAAATGAGCCTACTTGCAATATTATCTTTGAACTTTTAGAATTCAGTAGCTTTATAAAATCAAAGTACCACTCCTTTGTGAAATGTGTAGTAGGAATTTATGTTAATAATAAGTAGGATAAGGTTTAAATTGTGAAATAACAGTAACGCTATGTTTTAGACCAGTATTTTAAAAACCTTTTGACTGCAACCCACGTTAAGAAATACATCTTATATTGTGACCAATTATACACAAATATCCATACATATATATCGGTGTGTGTGTATATATATATATACACACACACCGATATATATGTATGGATATTTGTGTATATATGTTGTTGTTGTTGTTGTCAGGTGCCATCGAGTCGGAACCGACTCATAGCGACTCCATGCACAGCAGAACGAAACAATGTTCGATCCTGGGCCAACCTCACCACCGCTGCCACCCCCGAGTCCATCAATGATGCCACCTGGCCGATCCATCTCGTTGGAGGTCTTCCTCTTTTTCTCTGACCCTCCACCCTACCCAGCATGACATCCTTCTCCAACGATTGTTTCCTCCGGACTACATGTCCAAAGTAGGAGAGATGAAGCTTAGCCATCCTGGCCTCCAAGGAGCACTCTGGCTGCACTTCTTCCAAAACAGATCTATTGGTTCTTTTGGCAGTCCATGGCACCCTCAGTATTCTCCTCCAACACCACAACTCAAAGGCATCAATTCTTCTACGATCCTCTTTATTCACTGTCCAGCTTTTGCATCCATATGAGGCTATTGAAAACACAATGGCCTGGGTCAGGCGCACCCTAGTCCTCAAGCTGACATCTCTGCTCTTCAATACTTTAAAAAGTTCCTGTGCAGCAGATTTGCCCAGTGCAATACGTCGTCTGATCTCTTGACCGAGCTACTCACTACACGTTTACCTGATCCACCATCTTCAAGGAAGGCCTGGTAGTATAGTGGTTAAGACAAACAAACAAACAAACAAACAAACAAACAAACAAAAACCTGGTTGTGAACCTCGTGGTCAGCAGCTCAAATCCTCCAGGCCCTCTACGTGAGAGAGATGAGGCTTTCCGCAACTTGCAGTTAAACAGCCTTGTGGCCCAATATTCCGTGTTGTTGTTGGAGCTCCACACTACACGTCTCGCTGCGGCTCCAAGTTCTCGCTGCGGCTCCAAGTTCTCGCTGCGGCTCCTTGTGTATATATATATTTATATAATTAGAAGTCTCATAAATTTAGCAAGGATCGATGTAAACTACTTGACTGCTATTGATTTTATTTTACAATTAATATCAGCCCATTAAATTGATTTAACACTTAAATATTATGGTTTTATATAACACCACACTTTTCATAGTCTTGAACAGAGAGGACGATTCTTTTAACAGTGAAGTAAATAAAATGTCTGGAGTTCAAGGATTTAAATATGAAAGATGAGAACCATTGATTTTCAGAAATGGTATTTCCCAATTTTTTAGTAAACATTAACATTTGGTGCTAGTTGCTAGATTTTCTCTGATTTCTAGGAGGGCAGTAGGATATGAAAGATAATATTCTAAATGATGGTTGCTTTTCTTTCTGCAGCTCTCATGTGTCAGATGATGAGTCTCAGGCATCATTAATCTATGAACTTTGCCAACTGAAAGTTAACTGTTTTTGACATCAAGTTTACCTCCGACTCTCTTCCTCAAAGAGTGGGAACATCTTTCTTTTCAAGTTGCATTGTTGCCGAATTAACCAAATGGCTGATAGTGATGGTTTGGGTAAAAAGTCCACAAAATGCCCCAAATGTTCATCTGTGACTCAGAAAGGTACACTTTATGTATGTTCCTGTAAAATAAGGGTTTCTTCAACTTCGTTGGCGCAAGTGTCACCGACATCAAGTGTTGCTAGTTCAGAACGACTAATTTCATCAGAGAGAAAAAAAGAAAATATTACCAGCAGAGACACTGCCTCTGGGAAAGATTTGGTAAATATCGAAGATTCTCCATTTCAGCACAAATTGACATCTCATTTTCTAATCCCATTTCTAACTTTATCCTTATTCCATGGGCCCTTGTCAGTTAATTCATTAACTACCAAAGGAACATTTCTTTCTCGCAGAAGACATCAGCAAAATTGGGTAGTAGCTTCTCCTATGAATATTTCCAACTAGTTCCCAAATTAATTATTTCTGAGAATCCGGAATAATTAGGAATGTTACTCAACTTCTTTTCTATGGCTTACACAGGTATGGATTGTTTTTCAAGTTTGATTAAATCTGAACTTTTGAGCATGTTCTTTAGCTGATAAAGAATGCAATTTATGGTTGTGGTTAAATATAGAATATTTTTGGTTTATTATTTAATACAATTCCTGGTTATCTAGATGAAATATCAAATATGCATCACAAAATTGATTTGTATTCATTACATCCAACCAATTAGACTAATTTGGATGTTATTTCCTTTACAGAAAAGACCAGTAGTTAATAGAGGACAATATTGAAGGGAAGGAGCAATTTGTTCAAGAAAAGTCAGATTTACTAACAATGTGCCTTTTTAACATATTATTCTCTGCTATATATAATCTCTGATTTTTATTACTTATGATATAGCTATTGCCATATGTTGTTGTTGTTAAGTGCCACCGAGTCGGTTCCAACCCATAGCGAGCCTGTATAGGGTTTCCAAGGAGCAGCTGGTGAGTTTGAACTGCTGACCTCACAGTTCAAATGGCTTTGCAGTCTGACACATTAACCCACAGCGCCACACCATATAGGAGTTACTAAATGAATTGTTATTTTGGTTAGAAGCATATTTTGTGATTGTCTGACCAATATTTTTCAGTCTGAGAAGTTCCACGTACTGTCTTTTTTCAGTGTGTTTTGAATGAAAGTTTATAGAGCAAAATACCATGACTTGGGCCAGGCGCACCTTAGTCCTCAAACTGATATCTTTGCTTTTTACTACTTCAAAGAGGTTTTTGCAGCATAACTAAAGTTGTTGTGTTGTTAAGTGCCGTCGAGTAATAATCTTTTATGTATGACCTGTTTAAGAGTTCTAGTGTGTTGCTGTAGGATAAACACTGGACTGCTAACCACACGGTTGGTGGTTCAAACCCACCAGCCACTCTTCATAAACTTTATATAGGGTCAGAATGAGTTTAAAACCAACTTGCCTGCACTCAGAAGCAGTAATAACAACATTGTTCCATTAGGAAATAACTGAAAAAACACTGAAGTTGCCTTCGCTGGAGATTTTGAACAATTGAGTTGTTGTTGCTAAGTGCCATTGAGTTGGTTCCGACTCATAGCTACCCTGTTCAGTTCTGATAGATCTGTGTGCAGAGTACCATGGAGACTTGCCTGGATTTAGAGGACTGGATTGGACTTCTTAAGATCTCTCTTAGTCTAAAGAACTGATAAACTGTATTGTTGTTGTTAAGTGCTGTCAAGTCTGTTCGACACATAGCGACCCTGTATAGCATTTCTGAGAATTGACTGGTGAGTTTGAACCACTGACCTTCTGATCCAGTGCATATCCTACAATGCCATACCAGGATTCCCAATAAACTGTATGGTGGTGATAGTAGTGGCGTGCTGTGAAGTTGGTTCTGATTTGTAGTGACGCTGTATAGGGTTTCTGAGGCTGTAAATCTTTAAGGGAGCAAAAAGCCTCTTCTTTCTCCCATGGAACAGCTGGTAGTTTTGAACTGCTGACCCTGAGGTGAGTAGCCTGACTGGTAACTATGCTACCAGAGCTCCTTAATAAAGTGTATGTTGTTGTTGTTGTTAGGTGCCATCGCGTTGGTACCGACTCATAGTGACCCTATGCACAGCAAAACGAAACACTGCCCGATCCTGGGCCAACCTCTAGTAAACTATCGTATACAATAAATATCATGGTATACATAACATATTTATCCAATTGTCTGAAGATTTTACTTTGTCAACAAGAATGTTACATTTTCATGTGATCCTTCAGTCCGTTGGACTAATTGTTTTTGCACGCCTTCTATTTTCATCACTCTTCTTTCCTCTGGACAGCGAGAGACCAATAGTTGCACCTTAGATGGCCACTCATGAGCTTTGAAGACCCCAGTTGCTTCTTGCCAAAGTAGGATATAGAACATTGTCTTGTGTTATGTTATGCCAACTGACTATGGTCGTGAGCACCAAGGCCCAGCAACTTATGCCTTCAAGGTGTTTGGTTATGTTCAAAAAGTTTTCATAACTTTGTCTCCTGGATGCTTTCCCACATCCATGGATGTGTTTGAAGCAAAGATAAATACCTAGGTACAAATATCCTCTGTCAGACGGACATATATTTGTGGGTATACATATTCCCACTCTTCTTCTCTGAAAGGGATCACATTGAAAAGTTCTGGATAGAGTGGGAGAAAAATGTGGAACAAATTTTTAAATCATACCTATGGTCTTTAGTCACCCTTCAGATCTAGAACTGACCTCACTCCCATGAGTCAGTTTTCAACCAAGAGATAGGTCCACAACAAGGGCAGTGGTAACACTAGTAAGGCACATACACCTTAGGGTAATCAACCTTCTGAGATCAAAAGGGCATCATTTACCCAAGGGCAAAATTCAGAAGGGCTTGGATAGAAGAAACAAAAAACTTGAGGAGAAAGAGAGGTTAAGTGATGTTGATTGAATTGACAGAATTGCAATCAACGAGATGAAACAAAATGTGCCTGAATGGCCAGATGTGAAACTGATCGTCTGCTCTGTAAACCTTCACCTACTTCACAATAAAATGTTTAAAAAAGAATGTTGCATTTTAATCTTTTTAATTCTATTTTTGATCTTAGTTATCAAGACCCTCAACTGTAGAGAGAAAATCATCTCAACAACAATGGGGTCGAGGTAACTTTACAGAAGGAAAAGTTCCTCACATTAGAATGGAAGATGGAACTGCTATTCAGGTATATAGAAAGGCACGCTGAAGTTGTTTTTACCAGCTACTATAAACTTTTAGGTTTCATCTAACTAAATGGGTATTAGAAAAACAGTATTTGAAAATAAAATCAAGAGAGAATTTATCATTTGTAGATATGTCAAATTTTTACTAAAGATAATGAAGACTAAGTATTTTGTTTGTTCTCAGAAGATGAAATGGGTTTAAAATGAAATGCATTTTTATTAAACAAAAAGGAGAATAGTTTGGTCTTCAGGACTTGGCTATTGCTGAGAGCAATTATGGAGTCATTGTGTGGATTTCTTCAAGATGCAGAGAGAAGAGTTAGAACCTTTTTTTTTTTTTTTTTTGTAAGTAAAATGTATTCCCTTAATATAAAATTCAAGTGCAAGAAGAAGATGATGATAATAATTTTTTGCTTTTCAATTCCATTAATGTTAAATCACTTTTAAATTTTGTTTCAAGAAATTTGGAGTGATTAGAAAAACTTCCTGAGAAATTCAGACTTTAGAACTTTAAATCCCCACTTTAAATAAATGGTTTGTATGAAAAAGTAAAAAACAAACTCCCCCAATATCACAAAGTTTAAAACTCCACTGAGTTTTAAATTTAGCCATAAGTGCTTTTATACAGGAAGCAAAATATGTTCATTGTGAAAAATTAGGAGGATAGAAGAGTAAAGAAGAAACTAAGAATCATTAGTCTGCTATAACTAATTTTAACATTTATCACTTTTCTTTCATTTTTTTCTGTACCATGTAAGTGTTATCTAATTTTTTCTTTTCAAAATTTACTGTTTTAAATCATTAAATACTTCAAATATAGACATATTTTAAATAAGTAACATTAGCAGGTATAGTTGAAACTGAAACTAATCCCCCCCCCCCAAATGAACAGGCTCTTTATTAAAAATGTTAACAGTTCAGAAGAATATAAAAGAAAGATGTTATAATCATCCAAAATTCTACTACCGAGAGATACCTACACTTAATATTTAGATGACTATTTTTCCAAACATCAGTGTAAGCACCCCCACATAAACACATTTTTATAGTGGGATCATATCATGCATGCTTTCATAGTCTACCTTATAGTGTGGACTTCTTTGCCAGTAAAATAGATCTGTATTATAATTTTATAGCATCCTTTTAAAATTATTAGAAACAAGTCGTTTAGACCTTATTTCCACCACTACATGATATTAGTGCAATTAGTTGAAGAATAAAAAGATTAGTGAGCAACTGAGCTATTTCTTCATGTCTTCCTATTTAAAAAATCCTATTTGAACAGATTTTTTACCTCTGTTTCCTCCCCTTGCTAATCTTGGAAGCTGTCTCTTTCATGATTTTTCTCTCCTTATTTTGCCTATACAAGGGGATTAAAAAAGTTAATGGAGAAATTCCATTCTCTTTTAATTTCATTTTTTGAGAACTTTTTGAGACCCCTTTACATTTTAGCTCTGGTCTCTGGCTCCAGTGACATGTTGTAATATTTTTTCTGCAACTTAATGACTTTATGATTTATGCAATAATCTACTCTCTTTAGTAGATTATAAATTCTTTGAAAAGAGGAATTATGTTTCATTCATCTGTATAACCACCAGAGTACATAGCACAGGGGATAGCTATGGAAGGCGTGCGAGCAGAGTGAAGATAAACATTTTGTTCTTTCATTCTCTACCCCCACCCCCATTCACTAAGCAAGCATATTTTGTCTACAAAGTCTCAGAGGTGGTGCCTTTAAAATATACAAAAGAAACAGCTCTTTAAGGAGCTAGTTGACTATCTCAAGAGCAGCATCAAGCCAAAGTGTTTGTTAGTAAGCAAGTGATAATATTGTTTGAGGACCAATGCATATACATTGAAGAAAGTAAGAAAAAAAAAAGTATCATCTTGGTGATTGGATGGAAGCCCTTTATGAAGGAGGTAAGAAATTAGTTGGCCACTGAAACTTCTCTTAAGACACTAAAAATATAAATGGTAAAAAGTTGGAAGACTTGTCGCCTGGTGGAGGTGGAAGTGGTCACACAGAGACAGAGGAGCATTGCTAGGGAAGACGAGCTGGATGACCCGATAGAGGCTTCACCCAGTAGCATTACTCTCACTGTTCTCCTGTGTTCTGGTTACCATGCTCAGTGCCATGCTCAGAAACTCAGCTCTTTGTCATGCTCTCGAGTTGATTTGGATTATGAAAGCTGACTCTCCCCACCCAGATTCACAAGAAATAGAAGTATAAAGGTGTTACCTGTTTAATTGTTTTACAGTGTGAACTAGAATAATGGTGTTGGCAAGATTAGTATACTCTCTCTTTGTAACAGGAGTCCTAGTGTGGCATAGGGTAAGCACTGGACAGCAAGGTCAGTTTGAGCTGCAAATTTGGCAGTTCAATCTCACCAGCTGTTACTCAGAAATGCTATACAGGGTTGCTGTGAGTTGGAACTGACTCGAGGGCACTTAACAACTTTTTGTAAGCAGAAGTTAAATTATAGGCCAGAAGGATTCTTGGCCTGGATTGAGGTATTATGGGTGATATTTTATTTTCTTCTCAGTGCTGAGCTATATAATTTTTGTCATATATTGCTTTTTCTAATTAGGAATAAATGATTTTTTATAGAAGCAATGAAGATAAAAGAGTGTTGCTTGTTAAAAAGGGAAGCACTTATTTAATGGCTAATAGGTGTTGAATTTATAGTCAAACTCTCAGAGTTTTTGGAATAATTTTTTGAGTGAATGCACATTGGGTGAATGCATATATCATATCTCTCCTTATTTTTATAAAGAGATTTCATTAATATTATAGTTTGAAATCGATTTATTATTATACTTTTACATATTTCTCCATTAGAAACTTTATGATTTTCTTCCAAAGGACATTTAATGGAATTAATAAAAATTTACTTTTGGCATATCAAGATGTATTTATTAATATTAATTATTAAATAATCCTGGTGTGGCACTTTGGCCTAATGTGCTAGATTGCAAAGTCAGTTGAACTGCAACATCAGTGGTTCAAACTCACCAGCCGCTCCTCAGAAAAGCCTGTACAGGGTTGTTATGAATAAGAACCAACTGGACAGCACTTAATACCAATAACATTAATATTAAAACAAATATGTAGTGCCTTCTATTTGGTTTTGTCCTGGAGCAGAATATCTCTTTTCTGGAGTTGATATCTGACAGTATTATGTGTTCAATTTTAATACCTTATGAGTAACAAAGGGACTTTATTTTTCTTCAGGAATTCTATACCTTTGGAAGAATACTGGGACAAGGGAGCTTTGGAATGGTCATTGAAGCTATAAACAAGGAAACAGAAACTAAGTGGGCAATTAAAAAAGTGAATAAAGAGAAGGTATGACTTATTAGCAACATCATACTGAGGCACAGTGCAGTGTGGGTGTAAGCAGTACAGTTATTCACCCTAACACAAGTGGCCTCTGACCCTGAGAGCAGCCCTGGGCCATTCCTCTGGAGAAGTATGGGCATTTCTAGCCTTCTGAGAGGGGACCAATTCTTGAACTCAAGTAGACAAGTGTTATCTGGTAAAAACCAAGTGGAAGGATTAACTAATACGTATAATCAAACCAGAATGAGGTGAAGGTAAGGACTGTTAGAAGCATGTGTAGATGTATGATTGTGTGCTAAAGACGTCTTAGCTAGTTATATGTCCTGGTACTCTCTCCTAATGTTATTCTGATTTACTTTCTCCCATACATGTGAGTCAGAAGTGATTCAATGACAACATCCTCTCTGTTGACTTGATTCCCTCACTGCTAAATCTCTTTTTATTAATCCTACCTACTCTTTCCATTTGAATTAATTTTTCCAGCTATGTACTATACTGTTTACTTGTGTTCGTTGTATTCTCTACTGGATTCCCTCTTGGAGTAGAAAATGACTAGGCTTTGCTTTAAGGTACAGTCTAAGATTACTTACCTCGGCTGTACACTTGATCATTTCATAAATTCTTTTTAAAATTTTTGTGCCTGGAAAAAACCAAAATGGCAACATTCTGGTGTTCTGTCCTTGGATTTGTGAAAATAGACATAACATTTATCAAATGGAATAGAAGATTTTGTTGTCTTCTTTAAAACAAACCCTATAGATAATAGTACATGTCATCTCTGTCTAAAGTTTAATAAAGCAATATGCAAGCCTATGGAATAAAGGGAGACCCAGAAACCTCTCTAAGATTCTTTAGAATTCTAGAAGCATGGTGCTACCAGGAATGTTATTTCCTTTGCCTCTTTGACATCAGGTGGAGTTAGGAGTTAAGTTTAGAGTTACATAGACAGGGTAGTACCTAATACTTTAGCAGTTCATAATTTTCCACAGACTTTGAGTTTGAGAAATTACAGGATGTGGCGCTGTGGATTAGCACGCCAGACTACAAAGCCGTTTGAACTGCTAGGTTGGCGGTTCAAGCTCATCAGCTGCTCCTCGGAAATCCTATGCAGGGTTGTTAATGGGTCAGAACCGACTCAAAGGCCCTTAACAACAATAACAAGAAGATAGTGGAGAAGTCCTCGTCTTTAGGATAAGCACTGGACTGCTAACCACAAGGTTGGCAGTTCAAACTCACCAGCAGCTCCTTGGAACAAACTCAGCAGCACTTAACAACAACAACAAAGATAGTGAAATACATTTCCGTACTCAATATATGACTTGTACAATGTATACTACATTATATACAGGTCAGGTCATTTGGGAGGAACAGAGCTGAAATGGAAATTAGGAAAAATTGGAGAACTTCCCATATTTAGACTACGTTGTTGTTGTTAAGTGCAGTCAAGTCAGTTCCAACTCATAGCAACCCTGTATAGGGTTTCCAAGGAGCAACTAGTAGGTTTGAACCACCAAGCTTGCAGTTCAAACTGACCTTTCAGTCCAGTGCATTATCCTGCAGCACCACACCAGTACTGCATTTTTAAACTATGTAAGAATGCATTTTTCATAGTCACTATTTCTCTTGACCCTTTAGGATAATATGAAAATGTGACTTTGACCCTATATTCATGGGGTATGAGATGGACAGTATCACAGTCATTCCAGTGATTGTTATGAGTGAAGGGTAGAGGTAACTGGAAGCAGGGATTATTTTAGGTAAAATGTCAACTAAGTAAAGTTTGCCTATGATCAATCCTTTTCCAGTCTTTTATGAACCAAGGCATATCTTCCCAAATTTACTGCACCGGGGACTAGGATCTTTATTATTCCTTTTGGGGATATTTGATGTGGAAATAAGACCCATAAATGAACACAATGCTTATTCTAAGATAATGGCAGTTTAAGTACCAATAGGGGTTTCAGGTGTTGGCAGAAGTGATGAAGGTGGAGAAAGTACTTCTTAAATTTCTTTGATGACTTTGTAGACAACCAGTTATCTACATCCTGTGCTTCCTGTGATGTTTCTGCCTTTACCTTTTGCTGACAGATATGGTTAAGGCTTAAATGTTAGGAGACAAAGTAGGAGTTAGGTTAGTCTGAAGGCAAGAGCTCTCTTTGTCTTTCTTGAGGCTAAGTGTTGAAACCAGGTCAATTAGAAAGTGACATAAAGCAGGGCCCAGTGTACCATCTCATTGCCTCCTGTTTATTTTGTATTTAATGTGTGTGTGTGTTTGTGTGTATTAAAGCCAAACAAAAAAATAACAAGAAAAGAAAAACATTTTGTTTTTATCTTTTCTAATTGATTGCCTTGGCAAGTAGATTTTTATTGATTTTGTGTTATCATCAAAGGATCAGCATGTTTTGCATGAACTATGAACAAAAGATATTAAAGATTAGCATAGTTTTGTAAGGGGGCAGACACTATACTATAGCCAATTTTTATAAATAGCCTAAGAAACAGATATGGTTTGAGGCCAAATCATATATAAATTTAGAATTGGGCAATGAACAGAAAAGGCATAATTTAATCTGATTATAAGAATAAGTTGCTTGTTATCATTTGAAAAAGAAATGCTTTAAAGTAATTACAGAAAAACAAAAGCTTTGATATTGTGGCAGGTAGGAATGACATTCATATGTAAAATCTGTTTCCTCATTAAGGCTGGAAGCTCTGCTGTGAAGTTACTTGAACGAGAAGTGAACATCCTAAAAAGTGTGAAACATGAACATATCATACATCTAGAACTAGTGTTTGAGACGCCTAAGGTAAAGCTCGGCCAGCTGCTGCATTTTGAAAGTTGTTATGATTACAAAAGGAACACCATTCCATTCTACAATAATCCCTGTGGGGCATAGTTGCTCATGTCCTTGGCATGGGCCTGTCACTGGAGATTGATGAGAACATTCTGGAGGACTTTTATTACTGATTGTAAAATTAGGTTTCTGGTGATTAGATTAATGTCTTTAGTGATATTTCTGTGTGGCATGTTGAAAATAAGCATTTACAGTCAAAACAACTTCATAAACAAGCAGGTAGTGATTAGAGCTTCCTTAGAGATGGTTTTCCTTTTTGTGTTGGTCCTCAGTTTCTCTGTTAGTGTCTCTTGGAATGAATGTCATAATTTTGCAAAATTATCTTCATGATCAAATTGGTATATTAGGCACTATGGAGCAGATAATTTTGTCATTATGTTTTAAGAGCGTGTTTTATCTTATTTTTTCCATAGTTCTTCTCTTTAAATACCTGGAAGAGGTACTGAGGGATAAGCACTCAACTTCAAGGTCAGTTTGAACTGCAAGGTCAGTGGTTCAAACTCACCAGCCGCTCCTCAGAATTATACAGGATTGCTATGAGTCAGAACCGACTCAACGGCACAAAACAACGAGTTAGAACCGACTCAGTGGCACACAGCAACAACAACAAGGGTTGTTCAGAAGCCTAGGTTATTTACCATTGGTGCATCCATATTTATTAGCACCTTTCTCTCCTTGTACTGTTAAGTGCTGTTGAGTCAGTTCTGACTCATGGTGACCCTGTATAGGGTTTCCGAGAAATGGTTGGTGGTTTTGAACCACCAACCTTATGGTTCAAACTGACCTGTGGTCCAGTGCTTATTGTACAGTGCCACACAAGGACTTCTCTGCTTGGATGCAGTATAATGTAGTGGTTAGGTGTCTGAACTCTGGGGTAAGATTGCCTGTGGGGTTGAATCCAAGTTCTACCATTTATTAACTGCGAGAACCTGGGCAAACTACTCAGGCTCTCTATAGCTCAGGTTTCTCACCTGTAAAGTGGATTTAATAATAATAGCTGCCTCATTTAGTTGATGAAGAATTAAATGTGATGATGGATATAAGGTATCTGTCTCATTATTAAATGTTACTATTGTTCTTTGTTTCCTTTGCCATTGTCTTAAGATAGTAATAGTCAACTTGGGTTATGCATTGTGCTTGATAAGTTTTAAAGACCTTAGTTATCCTTCATAGGAGTAGTGGTGGTGGTGCTGGTGGTGGTGCTGGTGCTGTGGAGTTAGCTCTGACTCGTAGCAACTCATAGCAGGTTTCCAAGGCTGTAAATCTTTATGGGAGTAGAAAGCCTCATCTTTCTCCTGTGGGACGGCTGGTAGTCTTAAACTGCTAACCTTGAGGTTAGAAGCGTGACTCATAACCACTATGCTACTAGAGCACCTTTCATGTGAGTTGTTGTTGTTGTTGTTGTTAAGTGCCATTGAGTCGATTCCGACCCATAGCGAGTAGTGTATGCCAAAAGTGTTCTCTTCCCCCTTTCAGTGTGATTTCCTTTGTCGCAAATCTAGAATAGTTTTGCTTTTTATCATCAGATTTAAACAATTAGATTAATACGTGATGCGGTTGAGTTTTCTTTATGGAGATTCTTGGATCTGTGTGTTAATGGTTTTCATCAAATTTCAGAAAATTTTGGCCAAATATCTTCTCTGCCTTCCCCTCTCTGGTGACTCCAAGTACACATGTTACATTACTTGACGTTATCATCCACAACCTATTGATACTGTTTGCTGTTTCAGTGTTTTTCTATGTTTTATTTGTGTAGTTTCTATTACTATGTTTTCAGATTTAATCATTTTTTTTTCTTCCTATAGCATCTAATTAGCTGTTAGTCCTTTCTTGTTTTTTAAAAAAATGTAGAAATTTGATTTGGACCTTTTTTTTTTTTTTTTTTTTTAGCGTCTCTACTCAACATACTCAATTTTTCCTCCTCCTCCTTCAATGTAGTTATAACAACTCTTTTAGTGTCAACTTCTACTAATCCTATCATGTGTGTAATCTCTAGATTGATTGATTATTTTTTAATCTTCATAATGGGTTACATTTTCCTGCTTTTTGGTGTGCTTGTGGAAAAATGGCATGGCAGCAAAAGACCTTGTCTAATAGCTTTACAACAGGAAGAAGAGAGAAACAGGATCATCAGCCCAAGGTCAAACATACTTCCACCCTCCAACGTTTTTACCAGTTCTGACACTGGCTGTCTTTCTCGCTTTCTCTGCTGGGTTTGATGTCTCATTGCAGTTGCCACAAAAACTCACAGACCATATTCACCATTATGAGGCTTATTAGGGAGTAACAGGCACCAGGACAGTGTCTTTTAGGCCATGCCCACAGACAGACCCTCAGCTCCTTGCCCCTTGGCTTTCTGCCCTGCTTGGGCAAGTCTTAAAAAGCTCTTTAGCTCTGCCAATCAGTGCCCAGATACCTTACCCCACCAAGAAAAATTGACTCCATGGGTCAGCATGTACACTGAGGTCGTTTTGCGCTATGAGCTGCGAAGCCCATTGCGCCATCTCATGCCAGTCTGCTGGTTCTGACTCTGGACTCTGCTGTGCTTGCCTCTGCCTCTTGCTATCTCAAATCAGTTCAGATTCATATTGACCCTATGACTCTCTAGGGTTTCCAAGGACTGGCTGGTTTTAACTGCTGTCCTTTTGATTAGCAGTCCAGTGCTTATCCTACAGTGCCATACTTTTATGTATTGTCTGCCCTTGTTTCACATAGACCAGATCCGACCTTCCTCCTCAGATATCTAGATTTCCCATCTTAAGCATTAATGGAAACTGCTACCTGATTGTTTGTTGTTGTTGTTGTTAAGTGCCATTGAATTGGTCATGACTCACAGTGACCCTGTATGGGGTTTCTGAGGAGCAGCTGGTAGGTTTGAACTGCCAACCTTTTGGTTTATAGTCTAGTGCTGATCCTACAGTGCCACACCAGGAGGCCACCTGATTGATTATGTCATGGTAATTGGTGTTGATCATTTAGTATGACTGTGCCATGAATCCAAATGTTCTCTAGGTCTAAACAATTTCAAAAAATTATTACAAAAAGACTTATTTTGTAACTTTGAGTGATGTAACTTCTGTTAGCTTACATACATACCCTCACTCTTCGCTTATCAGAGACTAGGCTGCCGTGTGAAATCAGCGTTATGTGACAGTCAAGGACCTTGCTCATTGTTTGGTGCCAGTGTGTCCCTTTCCTTTCCTGGTTGGACATCTCTTGTTGGGTGCCCCCAGCAAATCTCAGGAGGCATATGATGCACTGAGCCCCCTTCCCTGTTGTGCCACTGGGAGCCTGTAGGGCTTAGGGTGGTGGTAGTCAGGTGTTGCCTCCTATTTCTAACTCACTATCTCCTGCTGCTTCCCCACCTGCTGCTCTCCCCCTGCCAGCCCTGGCCATGTACATGACATGTCCTCTGCTCACCACCTTCTGGGTGGGGACCCAATGTATCCAAGCATGACCCTTACTCTCCCTCCCTTCCCAGCTCCCCTCATCAACTTCCCCAGCACCTCTGGGCCCCTGTCTGTCCTCCCCCTGCCTACAGTATTTAATTTGAGGACACACAGAGGGTACCCTGGGCCCATCTGCAGCCCAACATGGAGGCCACCGGACCTTTGGAGGCACCATCTGATAAGTTTTTCAAAGTTGTTATAAATGGGAACTATTGGAGAATGACATCATTGGTAAATGAGGAATTGTTGTTGTTTTTAAGTACTATTGAGTCAGTTCTGACTCATAGCGACCCTGTGTAGGGTTTCTGAGAACTGGCTAGTGAGTTTGAATTGCTGTCCTTGTGGTTCAAACCAAGCTTGAGGTCAAGTGCTTATCCTGTGGCGCCACACCAGGAATTGTTGTTGTTAAGTGCCGTCGAGTAGGTTCTGACCCATTGTGAGCCTGTATGGGGTTTCTGAGGAGTGGCTGGTGAGTTTGAACCACCAACTTTGCAGTTCAAATGACTTTGCAGTCTAGCAGATTAACCCACAGACCACACCAGGAATAGGTATACTTAAAATTGATATAAATTTATATCATTAGTACTGCTAATGCAGCCTTTCCTTCTGGATCTCCTTACCACTTCAAGGATCAGTGGTCCCTGCAGTGCTATCAGTGGGAGAAATATGAGTCAGTTCAAAAGCTTATTTACATTAAGACTTTGCAGAATTCTAAAGTTACTTGTGAAATTCAAAAACACAAGATTCAGAGAATCGTTTACAGATACAGGAAGAAAGATGGTAACCTTCTTTTTCTGTTTTCATGATTGATGGTTGGACTCAGACACTACATTAGCAGTAGTTGTAAAAATAGAATCAAGACTCCAAAATCTTAAAAACAACAACAACTGGTTTGCCACGGAGGCCAGACAGCATGGGTGAGAGGGGTTCTGGGTTCGGGGGAGGGGGAACTCATGAAGGAAACCTTCCTATGACAAACCCACACCTTTACAGCCACCATAAATCTTAGTACTTCAAACTCTAGAATGCACTTTAAGAAAAAAAATCACGGTACTGAGGAATTACTGGCTTTTTCAACTTTCGCCTGCTGCTGTGTGCAGCGACAGCCCCAACTCCTGTAGAGCTTGAGGAGTGAGGCTGGAACCAGCTCGTGCCCAGAGCAGCACTCCCAGTAAAGGGGAGCCTTGAGCAGAAGGAGCTGCTGGATACAAAGGGAAGCGTAGGAGAGGGACCTCTGCCCAAGCGTGAAATTTCAGCACTTGCAGTGGGCAGAAAAAATCAGTTAACACAGGACACAGAGAGGAGGAAAAAAAATGGCGACTGTCTAATGTCATCAGACAGAGACTGTATCCGCCCATGTGAGCGGCCTCTACCCCACCCAATTGAACTGCGCTCACCCCAGATCCCTATGCCCCCACCGCCCCTTACCCCGACCCCACCGGACTGCAAGCACCCAATGGATCTTGCCCTAACCCTCGGACCATGCGCCCACACCCCGCTGAC